AGTAGTTCCGCTGTTCAGGTAGGGTATTTCCCAGGTCAACTAAACCCTTCGGAAACCAAATGCAACCCCGTGGGACTCTTCAACGTACGACGTGATTTGGTTCAAGGTTCTTTTCCGGGTGATCGTGGACAGAAGGTCGCATTTGACTTGCCGATTCATTGACTTACGGACAGGAGCCTGCGAGCGCGGCATCCTGCATGAAAGTGTTTGAGAGTGGAAATTTCATCTTTCCGATTGGAGAGTTACGGAGTTTTCTGTGTGAAATTGGAAATAAAATGTGGTAATGCAGGTGTGGAAGAAGCCAATGGGGATAGCACTCGAGCACCCGGCTGCAGAGTGATGGCATCGTGCTGTGCCAGTTTCCTTCATCCTCATGATGGCCTGGCTGTAGAATATGTATAAACCTTGAAATGTTTCGGGTCCTGGAGGAGAATGCCATATGAAAATTCGATATCGTTACGTAGGGCGTGGTTGTTCTTTAGAGGCGTGTTAGATGTAGCGTCCGGGAGAATCTGTTCGGACAGGGATTTAAGAGGTGGAAGGACCTCAGTATTTCACGGATAGTTAGCCTGTGCAAAAGAATATCGCTGTGCTCACAGATGTTTCCGAAATTTGCAGGGAGAACAGGGAGTTTCCGAGTTCTACTCAGTTCTGACGATGATATTCTTGAGGGCACGGGGGGGGGACGGAAGCGTAAGCGCTTCTCAGCAAACCGAATCCTGTAAACTGTATACATGTAAGTACGACAACTTATCACCAACACCCTGAGCTGTAACGATTCTTTCCATTGAAGTATGATAAAAAATGGGCTCACATTTCCTATGGAACGGGTCCGCTTAGATACAGTCCATATCTGAGGAAAAGGAAGGACAGCAGCTGCGAGGGTGTAGACGGAAGTGGGACGCAGGCAGGGGCGTGCTTATTGAAGAGCAGACTATACATCCATCACCGAGAACCCTCTCCCCCCCCTCTCCTCCCCATCTTGCTGAACTCCGCCATAGACTATAAATAGAATCGGTTGGTAAAAAAGTGACGAACTGATTTTAGAATATTT